AGTAGGCATGGGCTCCCTAGTCATCAGGGCTTCCGACAGGCAAGGACCCGTTATCGAATGTCAAAGGGTCGCGAAAGGCCTTAATAGAGTCATTTGCCTCGTTGAAAAAGCGTGTTTTCTTTGTCATGTTTCCCAGCGGGATCATAGTGTGCGTACATGTCGAAGTTTATTATTGGACTCTGATATTGACTTTGAGCGGGCAGAATCTGGGGGGCTAGAAGACCTCTCAGAGATGCCTAGACAGGAAATGCATACGTAGACGACATACCAATCCATCTCACGGCGTTTGACAGCAAGGGTGCGCAGACACGCCACCTATGAAGTTGCCAGATGCCTTTCCTCCATCAGGCAACTCTGGTGCATAGTCTCGTGAATCGCGCATAATACGGCTACTGGATATTTTTGGGCATCAACTCGACGAATGGCCTTGAGGCGAACGGGATTGGGCAATTTAATTAGAATTGAGCATTCATAGGCATTAACAGGGCACTGCAACAGCGGGGCTGTGTGGAGACTTGGCAATCATATGTAAGTGCCTAGGTCCAGTATCGCACTTCGTGATCAGCGTAACGAGGATCTTCAAATCGAGTCAGTCAAAGTAAACGCAAGTTAGACAAACGGCGCTAAAGGACCCGGACCCACATTGGAATATACAAGGTAATCTAGCCTCGTTGCACTTTCGCCCACTGCTCGTTATTGTGGTCGTTCTCCACGGCATGGAAATGCTTCTCTGGTCCGCGGATAGGTGCTCCAGTGTGGGCAAAGCCACGCGTTTCCTCGCAGGCATCCAAGTGTCCCACCCGCAATCTTCTCCCATAGCCAGGCTAACCCCACAAGGCGCTAAGTAGTGTTTGATGTGAAGCGGGCCGTATAAGAATTGACCATTGTATTTGGCAGCGGAGCGGGAAAGTTATGAGAGCGAACACAAGTTAGTACTTGATGTACCACGTTTGAGGGTGCAAAGATCTGGGAAGACTGCGGACCCAAAGAGGAGGAGCTCTTGGTGGATAGAATGATGATGCGTCATTCTTCTATATCATTGGAAACACTAATAAAGGCGTACCATCTGACGACAAATATATCCATCAAGTGCTGAACACTGGCTTTCCAGGCAGTCATTACGCTTGATCAAACCCAGTTTTTGAATGCGCACCATAAGGGAAAAACCTTCAAGAATGAGATAAGCATTGAATATTCCATATGCCCGACAAAGGCAGGATGTACGTTATGCAACGTTTCATAACGTTGTGCGAGAGTTTCGGAATCCCAATAACAGTTTGAATATCTTACTTGAAAATCACGATAATGCTCCGCGGAAGGACCAAAGAGATTGAGCTTGCGGTGCCGTTGTTGTAAGAACAATTAACACGGAATCTGGAACTTCGACTTGTTTCATTGACATGAGAGGAAGAGATAGCACTGGAAGAGTCGGCCGAAGTTTGGAATGCGTCGGAGGAAGTGCATGGCGACTGAAGTTGGCTATTCTGGACACTTTCTGCTGCGCCAAACGCGTGGAAAGGTCGGGCTGTGTAGTATGGTAGCTTCGGGCGGAACACATGTCGCTGTCGCGATAAGATGGTCATTGAGAAAATCAAGCCAAGTAGGCACTGCCATGCATGATGACGTCGTATTAGCACTGTCGAATGCCTAAAGACCTGCATTATTTGCTCCTACTTGAGAATGGGGCAGACAGTGTTTCTCTTAATGATCCAACGAACGAAAAATTCCAAAGAGAAACCCCATAGGGTCAAAAGCAATGCATTAAATTATACAACCTGGCGTTGAGAACCATGAGCTTCAACGGAAAAAAGTCGAACACGATTTGCAGACTCACTCTAGGTGCCAAACTAACAATCTTTCCCCACCCCTTCAGCCTCAGGTCTGCGCTAACAATCCCACCAATACGTGTGCCCAGCATCTCCCTCTTGTTATTGAGCAGCACCGCAGCATTGTCGTCGAAGCGAATCATGCTTCCATCTGGTCTCCGGACTGCCTTCCGCGTCCGCACAATGACAGCGCGTCGGACGTCGCCTTGCCGAACTTTGACCGCATTGACTGAGGCCTGGGCGGCGGCCGATACTGGGCGTGCTTTTTGCACCACGACGACGATCTCGTCACCGACGGAACCCCATCCGTTGTTGACCTTGTTCTTAAGGACGTTCACGCACTCAACGATGAGAGCACCCGAGTTATCTATGACCTATGAGAAAAGGTATCAGCCAAGAAAAGTTTCAAAAGAGAGGAAAATTCTTACATTAAGCGTACTTTTGAGGCCAATCATGGCTTTAAGAACGACAACGACGACGTCGGCAATGTGAAAATGTTGGCTGGTCGTCGTCTTCCACTGTTCCCACGGTCTCAAATGGGGCAATTTCCAGTGGACAGAGGGTGGAGTGCTTCTCAGGAGACGAAACTCCACTGCAACTTTATTTCTTCTTAATCGCCACCACCACCACCATCATATCCTCTGGACAGTCAGCAATCTTGCAATAGCACATCGCGATGGTTCTCTCAAGAAGAGGAAGTGGCAGCATCATTCTGCCGTCAGGACAAACCATGGCGGTGCACACCAGGACGCACGATGAGGAAGATCTGCCTCACGCTACCAAAAAGTGCGCCACTTTTGCCAATATACCATCTCAGAGTGGTTCTTGACATATAATGCTCTTAACACTGCCAGAACGATGGCCGATCACCTCAGAAAATATGAGCAGATGTGCGTCTGAGCTCTTGGACAGACCTGCACGTTCCAGGAATAGCTGATCGCCATGGCAGGTTCACTTTGACGCCTCAGAGAATGCGGATGATCGTGGAAGCATTCAAAGAAGCGCTGGAACTCGGATTAGAGAAACATGAGCAGTCCGTGGTGCGTATCATTCCGTCCATCGCTCATTGGAATCTCTTGATCTCCGCTCCGGATTCGGTTTGCGGAGCTGATCAGGCGTTGACGTCTTGTCCTCCAGCCAATGATCCCCACATTCGTGTTTGGTTGGCCGACGGGAGAGGAGAAGGGCGACTATCTTGCTGTAGATCTTGGTATGTCTCACACCTTCACCCATCCAGGAGGACGTAGTGACGGATTTCTGACAGGCGGGACAAATCTTCGTGTCTGTCTCGTAACAATCCAAGGCGAAGGGAAATTCGAAATAACTCAATCAAAGTATCGTCTCAGCGAAGAGCAGAAGCAAGAAGATGGACAAAAGCTATTCGACTTTTGTGCTGAACGCCTGAAAACTTTTATTGATACCACTTTAGCGGATGGCGGAATTCACCTAGAATCTGGCCACAAGCTTCCTCTCGGGTTCACAGTCAGTAATCTCAATTCCATTGCCAACAGAAACTGACGGCCACATCGTCGAAGTTCTCATACCCTTGTTTGTACGTGATTCAGATCATTTGCTGCCTTTTCTCTCTAATTTTATTCTCCTGAAGGCAACGAAGAATCGACGATGCTATTCTCATCCGTTGGACAAAAGGTTTCGGAGCGCCAAACACGGAAGGTCGGGATGTAGCTGACATGTTCCGCCAGTCCCTAGAGAAATACGTCAGTATTTGTGCTTTCTCTGTTTCCGTGTGGTCCCCTTACCCTGAAAGCCAATCAGCAACTTCCCGTTGAGCTTACAGCCCTTATCAATGACACCACTGGGACTCTTATCGCCTCACATTACGTCAATCCAAAGACCAGAATTGCTTGCATCTTTGGAACAGGTTGCAATGCGGCGTATATGGAGCACATTAAAGACATCCCAAAAATCAGTTCTCTGGGATTAGATCCCAACCTTGATATGGCGATCAACTGTGAATGGGTATGATTTTTTTTAAATGGATGTCCTCGTTGTTCTGATCTCAGCTCTAAAGGGTGCCTTTGATTCCTTCGAGCATGAACATCTTCCGAGGACCAAGTATGACGTCATCGTCGATGAAACTTCCAACAAACCCGGCGAGCAAACGTTTGAGGTTTTTTTGCTCACGTTCATTTTGGATGTTATCTGATTTTTACCTATTAAGAAACTGATATCTGGACGATATCTTGGCGAAATTCTACGCCTTGTTATTTGCGATCTTATTGATGAAGGTGTCCTCTTCCTCGGTCAAAACACATACAAGTTGGAAGTTCCCAATGCTTTTGACACGGCCTTCCTTTCACTCATGGAAAGGTTTGTTGCTCAAATATTATTTCCATCCTTCGACGTTCTGAATGTAGGAAATCAGTGATCCAACCGATGAACTTCTCATGATTGTCGGCATTTTCTCTCACTTCTTTGCAGTTGAAACCACCCTGGCTGAGCGCCAGTTCTTCCGCGCTCTTGCAAAGCTGATCGGCAAACGCGCTGCAAGGCTCAGCGCATGCGGTATCGCTGCCATCGTGAGCAAGATGGGGTATCTCGACGAGGGATGTGCCGTAGGTGCCGATGGGTCTCTTTATAACGTACGTTTCTCTTTCTGCTATCTTCTAAGGCTTGACTAACTGGCCGTAGAAATATCCTGGATTTGCGGATAAAATTCATGAAGGCCTGGTCGACGTTTTTGGAGAGAAAGGGCGGTTTGTATCTTTGAATTTCTTTAGGCAAGACTTTAGCTCACCAATCGCGGCAACAGGAATATTGTCACTTACCATGCTGAGGATGGAAGTGGTGTCGGAAGTGCCATCATTGCAGGTTCGTCTTGCTGCTTTAAATTTGTCGTTAGATTTCACTCATTTTGCTTTTTCTGCAGCAATGACGAAGAGGCGAAAGGAGGCTGGGATTCATCCCCATGTCTAGACCGGACCTATAATAGAGTTCGTCGAGGACATCTTCACTTTCGCTTTGTATCTGTTCCCTTGTTGTTTTAATTATCTCTGACCGTATGCGATTAGTCTAGTAGTGAACTTGAATCTATGTAAGATTAAAAGAGTAAATCATAGAACTTACGTACAGTCAATGTACAGTAGGACAAATATCCTTATGGTGGATTCGTGCATCCTGATCTCTAGGCCAACGCTTGAGACTTCACGACATGCTGGGATGGCCGAGTCGTTAAGGCGAGTGATTTGAATCTTCTCAGATATGGAAGGACACTATCACTTGGTGTTTCACCGCGTAGGTTCAAATCCTGCTCCCAGCGAATTTTTTGTCGCTTTAACATTCCTCGAAGCTCCGTTCCTTGCATCAGCGAACACAGCACCTGCACATGTATTCCTTCTTACATAAATCTAATCTTATGGCAGGGTTGAGGTTGCAATGGGGAGTTTATTACCTCTTAATTATTGGAACAAAGAGGTATACCTTAGCAAGTAAGAGATCATTCTACTGAAATTTTCAGCGCTGGAGGAACGGGGATAACGGGATATCTGTTGTCCTTACGGCCGTTAATAAGAAGCCGAGATCTGCTTTGAATCTGAATTATCTGCCCTCGGTTACTACGGCGGACAAGCCCTGCCCAACTCCCTTTCCACCGCACACAGCCTTTTCCTCTACTGCGTCCGAAGGTCACGGTCCCAGGTAGTACATCCTGTGAAAATCGCGGTGTTCACCTTTTCTCCCGACAATCCATCGTTCCACTTGCAGTCCAGGACGGTGGCAAGGCGCGGATGTCCGAGTCAGTAGCCCCAAAGTCAAGGACAGCGTTTATTTCGGGGCCAATCGAATTTCCAGATGATTTCTTCGCTACGTACTATGAGCCCTTGTTGAAAGAGGCCATCTCCTCGGGACACTCTTTTGTAGTTGGTCCGGCGCCAGGAACAGATACCATGGCACTGAAGTACCTGCTCGACCACGATGTCGAACTCTCCAGGATTACCGTCTACCTCACTGAATTCGAGGAACGCACTTTAGCGGATCGAGTCAATTGGTTTACCGAACTCGGGGGACACGTCAAAGTGGAAGGGGTGACCACTAGTGATCGGGACACTGCCATGACGAGAGATTCGGACTACGATATTCTGGAATATATGACTATAGAGGAACAGAAGGTGTTTTATGGAGAAAGATACTTTCCTCGGGTCAGCGCGACGGAGAAAAACGACAGGAGGAGGAAAGGCCTTCCATTGCACGTCAATCATGGACTTGCAGGTTATGAACTCCAAGATTCGTATAGGCCGGAAACTCAGAATTCGAAGGGATTAGGCTTTCCTCGTCCCAAGATTTGGAAAAAACGTATTGAGAAAATATTCAGTAGGTCATCAACAACGAAGCCGGAGTAGCTCAGAGTATGTGTCCGACTTTTACTAGTGAGACTATGGAACTCAAAACATTTCTATATGTAGGGGCATGCGCAACTGTATGATTTAATATAGCAAGCAAAGGTGGAAGTTGGTCATGACCTGCAGAATTGAAACCCAGAATTGATTCTCCTTGACCCAAGCTTGTTACGAGAAATTTTAAAAATGGAAAATACGTCGTATTCATGATAGGATTGAGAAACATTCAAAAAAAACATGTGGGTGCTTGAAATTTCTTAAGAAAAGTTCCAAAAAGCTATACTTGTAGTGGAGTAGAGCTTTAAAGAAAGCTGTAGCAGCAACTCGTTTCGATCGAGTGACCTCGGGGTTATGGGCCCCGCGCGCTACCACTGCGCCATGCTGCTTCTTGAAATGTTGGAGACCGTTCGCACTGATACTTATGCATGAGCAGGCGGTCCTGGAATAACCATTTTACTTACGGTTGAGTTCCGAGAACGAAATTTGGAAAGTATCCAGTGTCACAAATAATTTGTTATGTCTCCTGATGTTTTCAGGTATTAGGTAGGTAGGCAGGGCCTTAAATAAAGACATGCCAGATCTCCTTCATGAAGTGGTTGAGAATATAGCCTACATAATCAGCCGACTGTTTTACTATGCACCGTCCCATGAGGAAATAAGGCTCGAATTACAGCAGTTTATGCAGGACCAAGCCCGTTCATCTTGAATCACCAAAAAATTTATAGATATCGTTTTAGTCAATATATTCCATTGGTCAAATAATAGTACAGATGCAAGAAGAAAACACGATGTAAAGAAAAAATGCCCAAAGAGGACAAGAAAGCGATCGATTAATTGACGGTGATCTTCTTAGGTGCAAGCTCGGGTGTCGTCTTGGGGAAGGTAAGAGTCAAAATGCCGTTCTCCATCGATGCCTTGATCTCTTCGTCCTGTAGCGAGGAATTGTGAGTAAAACATTAAGAGGAAGTTAAACCTCAAAATCACATACCTTGATACCCTGAGGCAACTGCAAAGTCCTCGAGAACTTGCCGGACCTTCTCTCCTTCACAGCATACCCATCTTCATTGTGCTCGCTCGACTGCTTCGTCTCAGCCGAAACAGTGAGACGATTGTTATGCACATCAATGGATACATTCTCCTTGGGTACGCCGGGGAACTCGAATGTGGCTGTTACAACATTCTTCTCGTTATCTTCGTGGAGGTCCATTCTGAAAACGCCCGTCAGTACCGACTTTTATTCCAAGAAAGAGCGTAAAAGAACTCGTGCTTACCTTGGTTTTAATGCCCTCACAGCTCCGTCAACGTTCCTTTGCCCATTGTTTCCGCCGGCTCGAGTAGCACTTGGCGAGAGGGAGAGAGCGCTTCCTCAAAAAAGCGGTCAAAGTCGTAGAAGGGCTCGTAGTAGAAGACGCTGCTGCTCGACATTGATGATAGCGTGTTGTGGTGGTAGATTGATAGAAGAGTGTTGTTGAGTTTGAGTGGTAGTCAATGCACTTGAGTGTTTGTTCAAATTCTGAGGAGCAAAGACAGCGAGCGAAGCTGTATTTATACCATTCAGATCTAGATTCCAGAAAATACAATTGCGTCATTAAGCTTTTCGAAAAGACTATGAGATGGGAGGATGTTCTAGACGCACAGCGCTGGAAATTTCGAGAATTCAGGGGCATTTCTTTATATGGCAGTTATCACCTTTTCCTTTCCGCTGTGTTCGGGAGTTTGCGGACCGGAACAGGCCAGGCCCTTTGAAAGCTGGTTAATTCGTTTTCGACTCTGAGGTACTATTTGTGGCAGAATGAGAATGAGCGAGATGTTGATAATCTAGTTCACAGAGCCACTGGCGAGAGACCTAGACCATCCAATACTTTTGTGGTCGATGCATTAGCTTATTGACAACCTAGTTTATCCGAGTCTACTCAGTTTGAGTCCTGACCAACTATGAAATTAATCGGTCGAAATTAGGACCTACCTCGAGGCCATGTGTGCTGCTCCAGCATTGAATGCTACCTTGCGAGGTTGGACAAATGACGCGCACAAGTACAACTTGAACGGAATTCGAAGCAGAACCGCCAGTTAATTTCAGTTGGGGAATTTATACGAGAGACCTCAGCCTGAAAATGGCGAATGTTGGGACATCGAAAAGCAGTACATGGAGATGGAGTGAATTTGAGGAGTGGAAAAAACTGAGCCTCGAGGCAACCAACAAGACAAGAAGACGTATAACTTCCGGACTCGGAAATTGAATTTAAAATGTGAGGTCCAACTCCAAGGCGAAACCCTCAAAATGGCCTCCAAAAACCCCAAATTTTCGAACTCGCAACACCTTTCCATCATGTACCTATGTTCTAAAGGTCGCCTTTGCCTTTGCCTCTTTTTGTCTTCCTTCGGAAGAGGAATTATATTTATGTAGTAAGCTCGCCGCACCAAGGGCTGCATCGCGACACAATTGGAATGGCGCTCAGAACCTTTGACGTCCACTGTACCGCCCTTGAACTCTTTCGTATTGGAAGGACCTCCCCGGAGATCACAGTCTAGGGATCGGAAAAGGGCGGTACACTTGATTTCTGAGGTCCATTATAAGCAGAGCAAGCAAATTGGGTAGGCAACTTTACTAGGAGAGTTGCAGAGTAAACATGTAACTTGGTATAGAGTAAGTCCAGGCTTTCGACATTGAGAAATTTCGCAGAACGGAGACTTGAATCACATCACCGGAAATGTACAGGAAGGTCGGTCAAAAGTAGAAAAGAGGAAGAAAGTCGAGATGGAGAATAGGCGAGGCAGACCGCCTGTGGATAACACTAAGGGCACTAATCAGACGCATCGGACTTGCATCGGTTGCAGGTCTTGATTCAACTCATTTATCGAGGCAGCACCAGGGAGCTAAAGAGAGGTAAAGAGAACAATCTCGCACGGGAGCTCATCGGAGTAGGGCAGTGAAAGGGAGTTGCAGAGCCTCAGAGTCAAGGAGGATGAGAGGAGATGGGGCCGCGTAAAGATCGAAAGAAAAGGAAATGGAAGGATTTGTTTCTTCTCTGAGCCATGACGGCTATCTTCAGCAGACTAACTCTGAGGAAAGCGAGGCTGGATCATCCCTCGCACAGTATCTTTGTCGGGCAGTGTTGGGGTAATGGACAACACTAAGAGGGAGAAAAGATGCATGAAGGAGAGATGAGAGTGCAAAGGAATGGGGGTTTGTCATCAAATGATAGATCGATAGAGTGCCAGCTTTCCGAAATTCCGTCGGAGCCACAACTTGAAGTTATCCGCATTTGAAACCCCTTCGTCCGTTTTATTTCCTTGCCTTGTTTTCTGTCCATCAGCGATCCTTCTTGGATTCTTCAACTCCCAATCTAGATTATTCTATAGACTATTCTTCACAGACTCACACTGGCTAAGATCGGCCTCTGTAATAAGTACGGGAGCAGGACAACTTTCCAGAATATTTACAAAACTCAAAGTCTAGATAACTGTACGAGGTGAAGTCTTTCTTATTCTTCTAGATACAAACATCAAACAATTATGGTATCGATGGCGTTTGGCCAAATCAAATTGTGAAGAAAAAATGTTGTAAAGAAAAAATCTCCAATGATATTTTGTGAAAGCGGTCGAGTATTTAAATGAACTGATGTACCCTGGTTTTAGAGGCTTGCAAATCCTACGTGAATGAGCTAGACATAGTAGACATTGCACAATAGAGATTCATATTTCGACATTCAGCTGTCTAGGTCACGTGCATTTTGATCCAACGATCCGCTGATTCCGCTCAACTTGATTTTCTTGCATTGCTTCTATCACCATGGGTTTCACATATGTGATAGGTACGCATATTCTCTCTCCTCCCATTAAAGAAGTGAAGTCTTCGTTAAAAAACTTGTCCTACTTACAGAACACATGGAAGAAGACGAGGAAACAACTAAAGCGATTCCAC